GCATGGCCCGTGTGCACCCTCAGGCCAGGCCGGTGCACAGCCACGCACACACGTCCCTCCCCCCACCCGTGTGTACGGTCTGACCTGTGAACCCAGATACGGTGCACCTGGCCGTGATACCTCCCCCACCCACACAGACACCCCTGGATCCATCACCCGGCCACTCCCTACAGCCCCCTCCATCCGGCCAGGAAGAAGGAAGTCCCTTGGCGTGACTCCCCATGAGCCCTTCCTGCAGCCCTGTAGCCCTCCGCCAGGCTCAGGCTGTAGGGCTGGCTCTGCGCGGCTGCACCGCTCCTCCACCCAACCCCCGTCGGCTCCCGCAGCCGGCGTCTAGGTCGAGGGCTGCCCAGAGGTGTGCCCAGGGGGATGGGCAGCCCAGCTGGTCCCAGCAGGCCCAGGGAGCTGCCCTTCCAGGCCTGCCGGGAGCGGGGGGAAGGAGCCCTCATTTTACTCCATTGACTTGCTTTGCTTCCCCTCAGACATTGTCTGTCAAGCTGCAGGGGGTAACAATGTCTAGTGGTTAGTGCAAAAGACCAGGGCTCAGGAGACCCGGGTTCTAGGCTTGGCACTTTTTCTGACCTGCAGCATGACTTTGGGTAAGGTGCTGTGCCTCAGTTTCCCCTTCTGTATAATGGTGGGGGGACTGTTGCTCACCCTCCTTTGTGATCTGCACACAGGAAAAGCTAACAAGAGCGTGCTAGTTCCCAGGTCCGGGCCGTGAACTCGGGTGCGTATGTCCCAGTGTGCAAATCCAGGGCCAGAAAACATGCACTAGTGCACATGTCGCTCCCAGGCACAAGGCCACAGCAGAAATCGAGTGCATCCGCTCCAGTGCACAATCCGGCTGCTTCCGCAACAGTGGGTTTGTCAGGCAGGGCGCCTGGGCGGCTCCGGGGAAAGGCGCCTGTGCGGCCGGGACGAGGGAGGGGATTTCTGCCGTGCCGGTCGTCTGGTGTGCACGCACGTGGCTCAGGTTAAATAGCCCCCGGGCGGGGGGAGAGGAGGGACTCCATGCGAGGGGGGCTGGAGAGGAGGAAGCCGCAGGGTTCCCGAATGCCTGGCCGTTGAGTCACATGGGTGACACCCACTGCAAAATGCCCCTGGCTCTCTAGCGCCTCACGGGGGCTGGGAGCCAGGGCCCCAGCTGGCTCTGTGATTCTGCGCATCCCCGGGACAGTGGGGGCTGGTTCCCTGGGCCCAGTGGGCTGACACCTTCCTTGAGCTGGGGACGCGACCCTGCCCCATCTCACTTCCTCGCAGGGCAGACACCGGAGGGATCTGTTCCCATTCCCTCTCCGCGGGGATCTCCGGGCCTCGTGCAGCCAAGTTCTCAAAGTGGGGGAAGGGAGCTTTCTGGTGGGTCCGAAACACCAGTGCAAAGGACCTCTGGTAGCTGGTTAGGTGCTTCATCCCCTGGCAGGCTCGCCGGGCTCCTGTTTCCTGTTGCCCTTCTGCTTATGCGGCCGTACCGCCGAGGCACAGACTAGCCCCCTCTCTTGCAGTTGGTTTCTGCAGCTCCTGTCCTCCACATCCTTCAGGTGCCTCGTTCCTATTGAAATCAATAAGCGGGAGGCACCTTTGAGGCTCTGGGTCTCTGTCCCTCCTTTCCCTCAACCAGTTTGAGCAGGAAGAGCCGAGGACAGGCTCTGGGTCGCCACCTCCTGCCTGCGAGCGTGGTTTCCCAGAGGAGATAAAAGCCTACTATTGCCGCTAGCGGCAGGAATCATCCCCTTGGCCCACATGCCTGTGTTTCTAGCGCTGCCGGCTCCTGGTTCCGACCCTGCTGGCTGTCACGGGGAAGGGCAGGCAGTTACCTGGGAGCAGGGGTACCGGAAAGGAAGGGTGGTCAGCAGGTGAGGGTTCCCTGATGGAGAATGAGGCTTGAATTCTTCAGGCACGAGGGCGCCTCCCCTGTCCTCAGCATCTCACCCCTGAGCAGCAGGGCCCCCGTCTCGAAGCTGCCTTCCCCCTCAGCTCCTGGATCCTCCCCCCTTGGAGTGAGAGGCAGCCCTCGGGCAGAGCAGGGGGGGGCTGCTCTGAGGGTGCAGTGACCCCATCCCAAGTCGGGGCAAGGAGCAGGCTCATTCGCCATCTGCTGGGGACCGGTGGCCGGGACGGCCTGGCCCCTTCCTGTGTTCTCTCAGCAGCTGCCTCCTCTGGCCTGGAGCCCCCCTCTCGGCCCCGCGGCCCC